TTATACATTAGTTGACATGAACTGATAATGAAATAAATTCTTCTAAAGCATTTATTAATCTTATTTAATGTTATTTTCAACATCTACTAATACATAAAAGTTGTATCTGTTGATATTATTTAACGGACCTGAGCTAACATGAACTAACAATTAACAACTAAGATTAATGAATACTGTAACAAGTGTATTGTCATCGCAAGATAATGTTAATTTAAGCATTAACCAACGTTAACTAATGGAACCTTATTGTAAATTGTTACCAATTTACTTGTTTCTGTAGCATACAAAAGATGTCAGCCTCAGTCACCACTCATGTTCACTGCGCGCAAAACGTGCAATGAAAGTGAATGGTGACTGATTTTTTCATTCACCCTCAAATCTCCTTCTGTGTTCCACAAAAGCATGTCAGTCATACAGGTTTAGAACTATGAGTAGAGCAAGTAAACAATGACAGAATGTTCATTTTTGCGTGAACTATATCCTCTGAATTTAGAGGTTAAATGAAAGTTGAGTGCAGTTTGTTTAATTCATGAATTACCTTTATTTGGCACGACCATATCAGCAGCAAAGGGGAAAAAACTGTCAATAAAAAACGCAATGTGTCAGAAAGTACACCACAAAATGATAGGTTTCATTAAGTAAAAGGTTAAAAGAAAAAAATAGAACTACACTAAAAGACCCTTTCTCTTCTTTGACCAAATCCTGTAAATTTTTATAGATTTGTAAAGCTATTTGATACATTTAACAGCGTTATTCAACAGATTAATTTTTTAGGCTTACCGGTAAACGCATGCATGATTTAAGACTTTCTCTTTGAATGTTTCGCCAGGACTGCTAACAACACAGTGAATACGAGAGCTTTGCATCTGCTGTGTTAAAAAGGTGAAGCACCACTTTTAACTTTGAAGCCAAGACCAGAGGAAAGGGTTTTCACCACAGCCTGCACTGTGTTTCAAGAAAAACAACTTCATTTCTTACCTTTGTACAACCATATACTTGTCCTCAACCATAAATTCATCCAATTTTAAATACTTTCCTGCTGTTCATATTTGCAATCTTTACTGTCTGCGTATAATTTCTGCTTTAATTTCTTAAACATTGTGAGTTTAAACAAAATAGTCATTTACTAGACACAGATACACCGCAATGCTGTGGCACATGGTAAAACGTTTTTTATATAATGTGACCCAGTAGATAGGGTATAAATTTAGATGCTATACCTTTATTATGATGACTCAGATATAATCCACTAAAAGAGATATAATTAGTTTATTTGATGTTAAAAAGCTGTTTTTGTGTGTGTAAAGTATCATGCTCTGACTGCTCTGTATTGCTCTGATTATTCTGTTATGTTTTACAGTGTATTTCAAGTTCTGTCAAAATCCTGAACACAAGTGCAGACTACAAATAAGGCAGACTATAAAGGAACAACAACAACAACAATTCATTTAACTTGCTTTTCCCCCACTTCTGGTTCTTTAAATTTCCTTGTCCTCAATCACTGTCAGACCCCTCACCCCCCACCCGTCCATCAAGTTTCAACTCTGCACAGGTATACGCACTGCTGCACGTGTGCAGCTGTGGGTTTGTGTGTAACATTGCTGCCAGGAAAAGAGGCCTAAGCAGGAAGACGTGTTTCGGCCACAACTCAGGTGATTTGCGTGGTGAAAGAACTGTTGCAGTTAGCTCACACAAATGGTGAATAAACCTCACTGGTACTATCACCTGTACACTTACCTGTTTATACAGAAACCACTGGTGTTTGTGGGGATTTTTTTGGGTTATTGACTGATAAGTGGCCTTAAGATTGAATTATATATATATATATATATATATATATATATGCATATATAAATATATAAAAATGCATATATAAAAATGAAGACTAAACAAAAAGGTTACACTCAAGATAATCTGGGTAAAGGCAAGACCATTTGTATTCTTTAAATGCAGCTCATAGACTGTTTGTAGCTATCAAGCTTTGAGTTTCATCAAAGAAAGATCAAATAGAAAGAAAGAAAGAAAGAAAGAAAGTGCACACATCCCCCCACCCCAAAATCAGAAAGGAAAACAACACACCAATGAAGTTCCCTTTTCTCAAACCACCTCTAGTAAAAAACAAACCGATGCACGCTGTTACACGGAAAGTTTGCCAAAGTGCACGCAAGCGTGTGCACTTTAAAACAGTACCTATGATCACTGTTAGATATAGCTCTATATCTGTATGTCACTGTAATTCATAGAAGCTTGAGAGAAATAGTTGATGGTGGTTTTAATAAAAACAGTAAGATATAACTTATCAAAACAACAATACATTATTTTGGTATGTCAAATGGTGAGAAACCTAAGAAACCCAAGAAACCTAAGACCACTTTGCTGATTGTAGGGTAACTTGTAAAACCAAAAAAATATCAAGAAGGTCTACACCTTTTTAGGTATTTACTAGCTATTACAATAAAGAAGTATTTCTTATTTGCAAATTACATATGAAGAGTTTATTTGCAAAAACAGATGTTTCATGTTTTTAATGTGTTTTATTGTGTTAGTTAGCTGTATTTTTAAGTTATTTTTTACCTAATCAAAATAACCCAACTGCAGTTTGATTGAGATTAATTGGAATGCACAATGAAAAAACATAATTTTTGAAAATTGTTAAAAACAGAGTTATCTGTTTTTGCAAATGAACTCTTCATATGCATTATAGAATTCCAGTATAGAATTCCAGCTGCTCTTGTTTAGGGCCAGCATCTCTGTTATTTTAGCAAAAGCACGTTAAAGTTAAATGCTTCAGTATTTGCAAAGGAATATTTTGACTGAATTGTATTGAATATTGCATACAACATTTTAATCAGAAGAACAGCCAAGCGATGCAATACACTCCTCAATGTTGTACCATGGATGTAAGCACAAATTATCTTTTCTATTTTCATTTCAAAGCAAGTTCTTAGCTATTCACTAGACATATTCTGTGAAATATAGTAGATTCTAGAGTTTGGGTTTTCATAATTAACAGCTAGACAACCTTAAGTGACCTCGGACCGTTAGTCAAACTACTCACTGGTGTGTACAGGAAGCCGGGCTAAGCTTGTCTGCACTCTGACATATGCCGTTTCCCTCACCGGTGTGTTCGTCTCATAATGAATTGTTTATATACATGGATATAACTGTAAAATTTCCCTTTAGACATGATGTGTTCTAACTCTTCTGGGAAGTTTCTTAGTCATGCCTTTGCTTAATCATGTATGTGAAAACATAAGTTTTTTTTTTTTTTTTTACTCATGAAACTCCCACTCAAATTCTCTGCTTTAAACTTTTAGGAAGTTGCATGGAAAACAAAACCTTGCAGACCTTCCAGAAATTGACATCAAGCCTAAAATAATCTTCCACTTTAAAAAAACGGTAAGAAACAAAATACGGTTTGCCAAAGTGCACACAAGTGAAAACAGTTTAAAACAGTAGCCTATGCTCACTGTTAGATATAGCTCTATATCTGTATGTCACTGTAATTCACAGAAGCTTGAGGGAAATAGTTGACGGTGGTTTTAATAAAAACAGTAAGATACAACTTATCAAAACAACAATACATTATTTTAGTATGTCAAATGGTGAGAAACCAAGACCACTTAGCTGATTTCAGGGTAACTTAAAACCAAAGAAATATCAAGAAGATCTACACCTTTTTTAGGTATTTACTAGCTATTACAATAAAGAAGTATTTCAAAACCTTGCAGATCTACCAGAAATTGACATCAAGCCTAAAATAATCTCCTCCTTTAAAGAAATGTAAGAAACAAAGTACAATTATAAAACATATCGCTGCCTAGAAAAAAACCCTGCAGCTCAAACAAGAATGTAGAAGTCTTGAAATTCCACTTAAAAATGTTCTACTCAAAGTCAATTTAGTTGATTTTAATTATCTTTTCAATGAGATGGTGGTAAGATAGCAAGCAACTATACAGCTAACCTAGAGAGTAGAAATAAGATCACTGATAAGATTGTGGTTAAGCACAAAAATTTACGACGGAAATCATTTTGGGTTGGAACAAGAATCACATTTCAAACAGATAAGTTGAGTCATCTAACCACAGTGTTTTTGTAATGTAAAGTTGCTACCATGCCATTCGCCATCGGATTCCATTGTCCTTTTAAATGGTCAAAGACAAATTTTTAAGCAGTTTCACATTAGTTAGCTTCCATTATGTTTGTCATCATTTCTTTTCATTTCTTCAGGCACATTAACACACTATTCTAGCAAAACACACACACACACACACACACACACACACACACACTTTGGGTTTCCAGGTTTTATGGGGACATTCCATAGACGTAATTGGTTTTATACTGTACAAACTGTATTTTCTATCCCCTTATCCTAACCCTGCCCCTAAACCTATCCCTCACACAAAACTTTCTACATTTTTTTTTAGAAAGTCCCAAGGTCAAAAATGACTGGTATTCTTGTGGGGACATTTGGTCTCCATAACATGGGGAATACCAGGTACAAACAACACACACACTGAGATAGCAGGTGTCTAATACATTTTGTACATATAAAAGCTTTCATTCATCTTTTTATTAGTGTTCAAGATAAGTCAAACCAACTATAAATGTCAAAAGATATTACAGATCATGAAAATAGGCAAGGAGTATAATCATATGGATGTAAGATAATTCTATTTAAAATAGATGTTTTTGTTTTATGATATATTTTTAAGGACATTCAGATGGTTGTCAATATGTAACTGCACGTCTTATTCATATATAAGGCAAAATTAAACAGATACCACATTTATCCATTCACTATTATCAATGTGTGTCATTTTTATGATTCTTGTGTGCAAAATTGACTACAATGTCCTAAAACAGCATGCACTTGCTAAAAAATAATACAGATATATAACGTAAGTATTGTGACAGGATGTTTGGAAAATGTGGTTACTGCAATGTTCTGGTTTCTTGTAACTTTTTAAAAAAATCAACTGTTGTTATTATACTTCTCACTGCTTTTCTCCAGAATGTGATGGAAAGACAAACATCCTTCTAAATGTCCTTGTTGTTTATCAACTTGTACATTCTTCAGATTTAGTTAACAGTAAATTCATCTCTTTTGATTTTGTTGGTACATTATGATGTTGTCAGACAGTTTTACCTAAAGCACTGAATTCAGATGCCAGTTCTCTTACGGAAGTGATGAATTAGATTAGCAGTTGTGATAACCATTGATTAACTGTGTCCAGCTAGAGTCGCTCGCTTGGAGAACCCAAAAATCATTCTAGAACACGGTTGTAAAGGCAGACTGTCGGTACTGAAATCCAGTGACATGTTCACTAGACAAACCCAGGTCCTTCTCTGGAAGTGGCCAGAGAGGAAGCCACTGAACAATCTCTAAAAAGTGTGGATGAGGTGAACTGTGTTGATGAGAACACCACCGCCGCTAATGCTAATTTAGCCACCACTGCTGACCATACTGGCCGAAATATCTCCGCTTACATCCAAGCCGAGCTTTTGCAGGTCCAAGCCCATACTGGTCAGCGCCTGGAGCAGAGTCATCTCCTGTTGCGTGGCCTGGTCAATCAGGGCTGGACAGGTTGGGTTGCACTGTGGCCACTGGCAGTTATCGATGAGATGAAAGGGACAGCCTTTTAGAGGCGTTTTGCTGTTCTTATTAGCCTCCTGAAGACTTCTGTCCCAGCACTGCAGAGCACGAGAGAGTGACGTCCCCTTGATCTGGAAATCCATCCAATTACTAAAGGAGCACAAAATAGACCTTTACGTTCTGAATGGATGTTAATTGTCCTGTGTAATTCAGAAGTGGGTTCTGACAGGAAGTCTCAATCACTTAAAAAAGTGGTGAAGTGCATAAGTGCAGAAAGAACGCAAAAAATGTGGTGTAGTGTTTCAGTTAAAGATCTGGGTTGGTAACAGAAATAAATAATGCAGCCTTGGGAAACATAAGAGATGAAAAGATTTTCAGCATCCCCATATTATTAAATAATGTTCTCCTTTAAGGAAATGTAAGAAATTAAGTATAATTACAGAACATAACTCTAAAAACAACTGCAATTCAAACAAGAATGTAGAAGTCTTGAAATTCCCCTCCATTAGGCTCTGCTCAGTAAGTAAATTTTGTTTTTTAAGTGAGATTGTGGTGTGATTGAAAGCAACAATACAGCTAACCTAGAGAGTAGAAATAAGATATCTGATAAGATTGTGGTTAAGTACAAAAATTTATGACATAAATCATTCTGGGTTGGAACAAGAATCACAATATTACTGGTGTACTCTCTTTGATATAAATAATGTAGCTGTGGGGAACATAAGAGACTTC